GGGCTCAATCCCACGAACAATGAGATCATGACCTGAGCCTAAATTAAGAGCTGGACACTTCATCAGCCGAGCCCCCAGGCGCCCCCAGCTGTTCCCTTTTTTTAATGAATGTAGACAACATCACAGGATATGAGGGAATACTTGGTATCCCTGGACAAGGCATGACTTAACTAAAATGGCCCGCTGTGGTATTCCCATACCTCTAGGTAGAGAGTAATTGACCTGAACTTCACACCTGGAGGTGCTGGAGATATCTGTTTCTCTGGAATATATTTTATTTCATTTTATCTATTAAAACTGGGCTTATCTGAGAAATGCAGAAAACCCTAACAGTGGCTTAAATAAGATAGAATTTTATTTCAAAGTCACATAAAAGAGGTCTGAATGTGAGCAGTGGGCAGGTGATCATCAGGTCGGGCACCCAGGGTCCTTCTTTTTACTCCAACATCCTCAACCCTTGGGTTCTCACCTTCTGGTCCAACATGACTGGACAAGCTGTAGCCATCTTATCCACATTGGGGTCCAGAGAAAGGAGGGATGAGGGGAAGAAGGGCCTATGCTTTCCCTTTAAACACACTTCTGCGAAGTCATACGCGCACCTCTGCTCATATCCCATTGACCTAAACTCAGTCACACATCCCTGCCTCACTGCAAAGAAAGACTTGAGAGAGGTAGACTGTACCGCAGCTAAAAACTGTGGATATTTTCAATGGAGAAGAAACGGAGAACAGATATTGAAGGGACAGCCAGGAACACTTCTGCATGGATGAAGGCTGAAATAAATTTGGAATTAAAATGTTTTCTTTCACAAAGGAGACTAGCCAGAAATTTTTTATATTCATTTTCCTAGGGTGAGAAATGTGTATAAAAATTATCAACTTGTAAAGTGACACATGTAGAGCCCTTAGCGTAAGCTTCTGGCACATAGTGGGTATTCATAGTAGATTGCTGTTGCTATATACTGAGAAAAGATCTCTGAAAGCATAGTGACGGTGGCCTGTCAGTGAGCCTGGATATGTCAGAGGGGGGTCTCCCAAAAGAGGGGACTCTGAAGTGGAGCAAAGGAGAAATATTGCAAGAACGTTGAGATTGAAGGAAGAACCACAGGGACTAAGGTGGCCTTAGAATCGTGGGGACGGGAGCTGGAAGGCAAACATTCTAGGTTCTTCCTCTCTACGGCTCTCTCTCCTTGAGATTTCCTCACATCGGGGAACATGGCCAACAGCGTCCACAGGGTTACCTACTTCTAGCTCCTTGTCCAGAAAGCAAGGGAATTCTTCCTCCTCGGCCCGGCTGCACAATTGCTAGGGCTTTACCCTGGCCCAATGTGGGTCCTATTCCTGAACCAGGCTCTGTGACCGGGCCAACGGGTGCCGTGACTGACCTAAGCACCACCGCTTCAGGAGGTGAGGGATGTCAAGTAGAGCAAGGGATGAAGAGCAGGGAATGTGATAGGCAGGAACAGACCTCTGCCAACATCAACTTCTCTTCCCTTACCCTGCCTTATTTTTTCATGATACTACCGCCCAACTTTGTATTCATTTATCTGTTTATCTTTGGTCTCTTCCAGTAGACCATAAGGCCTGCGAGGACAGGATATTTATTGGCTTTGCAGAACGTTGTGTCCCCAGCATTAGGACTGTATCTGGCCCGTGGAAGATGCTCCGTCAATATCTGAGGCGTAAATAGCTTCCCCGACCAGAGTGTGGTGGGTGCAGATGGGTCATCAGGTTGGAAAAGTAGAACCCTGAAACACTCCGGTATGGGAGTTAGCCACTTTATAAATCACAGAGAAGAAGAAAATGTTGAGTGGTAACACAGCGAAATCTGGAGTGTCTCGGATACTGTAAGTCACCCGGCAACCTTAGCTGGTTCTCATTATCTCTGACAAAGGGGGATAAGAAGAGGACAGATGAGTGAAACAATCCAAAAATACCCGAGATGTTGGTAGTTCACACTGCATTTGTTAGCTCACGTCTACTAGAACAACTAGCAATTAGTGCACTGGACAGATTTGAGTCTTCTCTCCCGTCCCTAAAGTGCTCTCTGTAGAAGACAAAATGCTGCTGGGCTCCTGGACAAAAACCATCGATGACATAACTAGACCCCACAAAAAAAGGAACTTAGACTGCGCTAGCCTTTGTGTTGGCTGATAGCTTTTGCTCTCCCCCAGAAGCTTAACTTTGCATGACTTGATGGACTCCAATAAAATTGTTCACCCAGCTAATGTCCACATCTTTATTTCTGGCAGAAGAACCAGCTTCTTGCTTCACCCTGAGGTTCCAAGGGACCAGGTTGGCCAAGGATGTCCACGGGTGGCTTGTTTTTCACTTTACAAACTGGCCAAGCCTTTTAGCTTCCAGCTCTTGCTTGATCCGCGGTTTCATTCTTGGCTTTCTACGCAGTCATGAACAGAATGGCTTCTCTGTTTTTCTTTCCCATAACAAGCTGTGAGAAAGCAGCTGAAGCTCCAAGAGACATGTTGACTTTCTCTTTCTTTCTGTTCTCTTGTGGTTTGTAGGGTAGGGGGAAGAAGACATTTGGGCCTTTGGGGGAGCATTTCTGATTATTATTATTTTCTTGAAAATCCAGTTTGTAATGCTATGCCAAGCAGCTCGTAAAACTGTGTCCTTTCTAGATGTGACCAGTGGCCTAGCTCCAAGTGTGTGCCCTCCCTGATGAAAATTGCATCCAAGGCATCTAGTTATGGGGTATAAATGGAGAAGGAGAAGAGTATCAGTGCATGTACAGATTGTGTCCTTAACTACATTCATAAGTTCTGTATGACTTGCATATTGACATGCACATGCCCAAATGAATGCATGGTAGTAATTATAACCATAGCTAACACGCTTTGAGCACTTAGGCGTCAGGCATTTTTCTTTTTTTTTTTTTTTTTTTAATTTTTTTTTTCAACGTTTATTTATTTTTGGGACAGAGAGAGACAGAGCATGAACGGGGGAGGGGCAGAGAGAGAGGGAGACACAGAATCGGAAACAGGTTCCAGGCTCTGAGCCATCAGCCCAGAGCCCGAGGCGGGGCTCGAACTCCCGGACCGCGAGATCGTGACCTGGCTGAAGTCAGACGCTTAACCGACTGCGCCACCCAGGCGCCCCGTCAGGCATTTTTCGATTGCCCAGCAATCCTGTGAGATAGATGTTATTACTAGCTCCATTTAATAGATGAGAAAACTGAGACCAGGCAAGGTGAGATAACTTGCTTAAGGTCACACAAATGACGAGAAGTAGACCCAGGATTTAAACCCAGGGAGTCGAGATTCCAAGACCATGCCCCTCCCTACCTCTGTTTTGCAGTGTTTATAGTTTGGTGATTTAGGCATAAATGGCATTTAGCAAAAGAGCGTCATCCAGGTTAGCATCGTTCACAGAGTAAGAACCTAGTGAAGGTCCAGTGGTTGAAGAGATGATGCTGGTAATGGCAACTATAATAACACCCAAGTTGATGGAACGTTGTCAGGTTTTACTACTTGGGATTTGGAGACGAAATCCTGTGTTGGAATCACAGTTTTCCTGCTTACTATGTGACCTCAGTTAAGTTACATAACCTTTCTGATTCTTACTTTTCTCTTCTATAAAATGAGGACGAGACTAACCACATCACTGTAGGGCTGTGAGGATTAAATACATGTACAAAAAAGCATCACGCATGGCCCTAGACACAGTAAGCATTCAGTAAAAGCGACCTTCATTTTTTCAGACATTTGGCCCAATCTCAGTGAACAAATAACCCAAGATTATTATTTGCATTTCCCAAGACATTAAATACAAAACCATATCCAGTTTAGATGTATGCTTTTCAATTAGTTATGAGTTCTTTCTTTTGCAGCTAGTCGGGCCTGGCTTTTGTTCAAGTCCCCGTTAACTTTTGACCTACAAATAAACTACCTTAATTTCCATAACTGGAATTTCTGCCTTCCTCTGGAGGGTCAAATGGGCCACCCTCACCCAGGCCACTGGACAGCCTATTCTTGGGGGGCAGTAATCAGGTCCTAGGTGTGGAGACTGCAGAGTGCTCCTGTTGGTCCTGCCCTCCTCTCTCCCACTCCTCCCTTCCCTCCAGGCAAAACCCGTGTGTGCCTTGTGAATTACAGCCTCCCTGTCCCCTCAGCACGCCTCCCGCGGGGGAGTGTGTCAGAGGGGCTGGATAGAACTGACAAAAGCAGCTGGCAAAGGCACTTCCTACAAAGGCATTGGCTCCAGTGGGCATATTAGTCAGCTCAGACAGTTTCCAAAATTGCTAACATGGAGAGAATATTTGTTTATTTTTCCTTTCTGTTGGGAATGTGGAAGGGACCTTCCTGATCATCCCAGGACATCCACAGTGTGACATTCCAGTCCTTGCGGATGAGAACATGCCCCTCTGCCAGCATCATCCGCAGCCCTCATTTTAAGCGACAGTCTGGAGGAGATTAAATTGAGGTTTATCTTTGAGTGACCGGAGTTATTTTTGTTTTCGTCAGCCTGGACTATTGTAATTAATGCGAAGACAGTGGCGGGAACAAGGCTTTTATTATAATACAAGGGTGAGGATGGCTTTGACTGACCTTTCTTCTGCTGGGGTTTCAGTGTTTTAGTATGTGCTGCTTGCGCTGGAAAGAATTTATAATCACAGGCTGTCAAAGACGGCCATTGTTCTCACCGCTCTGAACATGTGGGTCAGCCACAAGTGCTTTCAGCTCCCCCGGCGCCAGGAGCTGGCCGAGAGCGAAAGCATGCCTGGATTCTTCTGAGGCATCAGGAAAAGCATTTTGCATATTTTTCATTGCTTTTTTTTTTTAACTTTCTGCCTCAGAAAGACAGCTCCCTTTCAGAGCAGGAATTTCCCTTCAAGGTAGCAGGAGATGGAAGCATGCTGCTCCAGGACTTTACGGAACTGATTCTGCTGCAAAAAACAAATGCCGTGTGCATTTGCCAGATAGCGTAAACAGGAGCAGTTGCGTGGCTACGCCGGGGGCTCGGTCCGAGACCGGGCATGCGGTTATGGATTCCGAAAGACGGGTCAAGGTTAAGGTTTCCGTTTTTTATTTTTGCTTTTGTCTGTCACTGTATCCTTGTGAATCCGAACGTGATGATCTTTTACTCTTAATTCCTTTGATTTTTTTTTTTTTTTAAACGTGGTGGGGTAGGAGCTACTTGGATTTTTGTTTTTATTTATTTATATTTTGAAAGGCGCACGATTTTCTGATCGGGACAGTGGCAGCAGGGAAGGTCCCGGAACGAAATGTTGGCTTGTAGATGATAATCCGTGCCATGGTTTTTCCACACTGACACTACATGCGGGATCTTTGGAAGATCACTGGAGACGGATTTTCCTGGCGTTGTAGGCTCTCCCTCTGTTGCTGAAGTGTCTATAATCCTTTCGTTTTATTTTTGGACAGGAGACGGATGACATTGAGAGTCCTAAACGTAGTATCCGAGACAGTGGCTACATAGACTGCTGGGATTCTGAGCGCAGCGACTCCCTCTCCCCCCCTCGCCACGGCAGAGATGATTCCTTCGACAGCCTAGATTCCTTTGGCTCCCGCTCCCGGCAGACACCTTCACCAGATGTAGTCCTCAGGGGAAGCAGCGATGGTAGGTCGCAGCCTTCATACACTGCCCATCTTTAAACTAAACATTAGCAAGAGCTGTCTTGTCCCCGGTGGAGGGGAGGCGGGCTCCGTATCCACCTTGCTGGAACCTGGTAACTCTAAACGGGGAGAAGAAAACGTGTTGTCGTGTCGGTTTTCGTGGTCCTTAGAATCTGGGTTGGCTTTGCCAGCAGTCTGAACGTTGCTTCAGTGAGCATATCTTCTAGCGGAAAATACGTTACATCATGCCTCCCCTTGGTCTCCGTGAATCAAGACGCTGTGCAGGACATTAGCTCATAAAGTGTGCCGAAGGTTTATGTGCTCTGGGTATGAGGCAGGGAAATGTTTGCGCACCACACTGTATACATGAAAATGAATCAACTTCCAGCAAACTGGAAATGCACTATACACACATAGGAAAGTTCTGAAGCTCAGGAAACTTTAATTGGCGGGGTTTTGGCAATCTGTTCCATGCCTGTGATACCTGACCGTTGGCTGGAACCACGCGGGTGGCCCTTAATGTACACAACCCAGACTGCCTCCTTGCTCTGAGTCTGGGTTTGATTTAAATCCCATGGATTTTATATCACCTGCAAGGAATGATCATTTCTCTTTGGAGAAATGTGTGGTCATGCAACCTGATGTGAATTTAATGCCTATTTTCCAGAAGCTGTTTACGTTCTTTATCTTCCACCTTTGTACTTTAGGAAGGGAAGATGGCTTACTTCTGCATGTATAAACTTGCAGAAAGACGCTAAGGCTGGTGGGGAATTTTTTATTTGTTTCTGAGTTTTTTAATGTGTTGCTTGATTGTTGCTAATGTTTCTAGAGACTTAAGGCTTCTCTCTGAGATAAAAATTCTCTTTTATGGCTAAATGACCCCTTTCAGCTATAACAGTCTATCTAAAGTACTTGAGTGTTTAATGTGCCTAGGTCCTGAGTTAACTGCTCGACAGCTAGTATCTCATTTAGTCCTCAGTGCAGATTATGAGAAACGTAGTTTCTCACTTAGCCCTCCCACAAGCCTGAGAGACATTTCTTATTTGTCTTTTACAGATGAACCTTAGAGAGGTTAAGTAATTGCCCTTGCGTTGTTAAGTGACAAATGTCAGTGTTATTAAGTGGTGTAACAATGTTTGCCTTAAGAAGCGTGAGTCCGAAACTTACACTCTTAAACTGAATTTGCATACACTTCTGTTTACCTAATAAATTTTTTAAATTCTAGAATGACTGAACTACTGTTTTTGTGTAGTACTTAAGCTTTCCAACAAATAGATGGACCAAGGGGCCACATAGTCTTTGACTCCAAAAGAATCCCATGGTGCATTGTGAGCTGCTTGGGAAACATTTCTAAAATTGTATACAACATCTTAAGTACCACAGCCACAGTATTAGAAGTTACAGTACCAAGTGCAGGACTGAATTGAGGTTTTGGCCCCACCAAAAGGTGGGGATTTACTTTCACAAAACCTATCAAAACCAAACTATCTCCTATTATTTTGATTGTTTTTTTAAATTATTATTTTATTCATCTTGGTGTTCTGGAAGTGGCAACACAGATCCTTTATTCTGTCACCAGCTTCGAGGGGTTCAGAGTTTATAACGAGCCACATCTTGAAGAGATTTGAGATGGTAATTACTAATATTGCACTAATATGTGCTTGGGCACAATTTAGCTTGCAACAATTAAGATTGATAAGCTGAGGTCTTTTTTTTTTAATTTTTTTTTAACATTTATTTATTTTTGACAGAAAGAGATCGAGCGTGAACAGGAGAGGGGCAGAGAGAGAGGGAGACACGAAATTGGAAACAGGCTCCAGGCTCCAAGCTGTCAGCACAGAGCCCGACGTGGGCCTGAACCCACAAGCAGTGAGATCATGACCTGAGCCGAAGTCGGTGTTCAACTGATTGAGCCACCCAAATGCCCCTAAGCTAGGGTCTTTTTATAAATATTTTGTCCATGTAAAGAAAAATATGAAATTGATCTTCACAAAACACCATCCATGAAAGAGCACCTAATATACAGATTTCACCAACTAGCCCGACGCCTTCAGGCTTATGTTCTTGTAAACTGATCAAGACCTAGTGAGGTTTTTAAAAAACAAATAAAAAAAAAAAAACATTTTTATCTGCCTTAGAAAATGTAGTATAATTTTATTCAAATAGGTGTTGTCTTTATTAGATTTTATGGTTTTTTTTTTAATGTGTATTTATTTTTGAGAGAGAGAGACAGAGTGTGAGCAGGGGAGGGGCAGAGAGAGAGGGAGACATGGAATCCGAAGCAGGCTCTAGGCTCCGAGCTGTCAGCACAGAGCCCGACACAGGGCTGGAACCCACAAACTGTGAGATCATGGCCTGAGCCAAAGCTGGGCACTTAGCTGACTGAGCCACTCAGGCACCCCGATTTTATGCTATTTTTTAAATGACACTTACCAAGAAGATTGCTAGTCCTAATAAACACCTTTGGATTTAGAAAAACATTTTTAAGTCTTGGAATTTTATCTCCTAAGCACTCACAATCAATTAGGGAAACTCTTAGCATAAAATTCTCTGGCTCTATATTGGGGCAATATTTTATTGTTATTGAGGCCCACTGCCCCATTCGGTGGGGACAGTCAGGATCCACTAACAGATGCCATGATTCCATGGGTTGCTCATAAGAGCTACCTGGTCGGTAAGCTGTGGTCTCCGGGGTCCGTTCAGCCAATCTGTCTTGCTAAATAGGTGCCAGTTCCTCCCTTACCTCCACTAGCATTCCTCCTGAAGCCATAGAATGGACTTCGCTGAAGAGGAAATACAATTCACGTGCTTTTAAAATTAAGGGCATAGTTTATAAATATGATGTATTTTGTTAAATGAATACTCTTTTATAGAAAAGATGAGTTGAGGGCGCCTGGGTGGCTCAGCCAGTTAAGTGTCCCACTCTTGATCTCAGCTCAGGTCATGATCTCACAGTTTTGTGAGTTTGAGCCCCACATCAGGCTCTGTGCGGACAGTGCAGAGCCTGCTTGGGATTCTCTCTCTCTCCCTCTCTCTCTGCCCCTCCCCCCACCTCTCTCCCTCTGAAAATAAATTTTAATAAAGAGAAAGAAAGAAAAGATGAGTCGACGGAGAGAAACAAGGAATGAGAGAAATTAGACGAAGACGAGAAAGGCACGGGTTGGGGGTGTACATGGCAAAGATAAGGGAAAAAAGAAAGACCCCCTATTTCCTGGAAGGGAGACAAATGTAGCCCCATGGAAAGGAAGGACCAGACTTTGATAAAGTCATGTCATTGTCATCATGTGCTGTGTTGCCATTTCCTAACTTTGGGAATAAATAGAGGAGCCACCCTAGTATATTTCTACGTTTTCAGGATGAATTCAAAATCTTTTGAAGTCCTGGCCTTACATTAACTGAGCGTATACCTTACTAGGTGCTTTGTGCCATCTCATTTAATCCTCACAGCCACTGTGAGAGCTGTGTTATCATCTCCATGTTCCCAGTGAGGACCCTGAGGGACAGAGGGTTTACGTTTTGCAGAGAAATTAGACCCTTGTCCAGAAAACTACACTTCTTTCAACTGGGTCGCTCGCTCTGCCTCAGGGCATCTGCACATTAACTTTCCTTGAACTGTCTGTTGAAGACATTTATTGGAGGGTAATTGTGGGAAGGAAAAGGGTGATCTGTATATGTGTTAAGCAACCAATTTGAGGCTTTCACTAAGATTGTTACATATAATACGTTTTTATAGATACTGGACACAAATAAGGTTTGTAGATTATAGGATTTTAGAAGTGAGAAAACTGAGACAGCTCCAATTTATTACTAAGCCTTCATCATTGATCTAAGAATCATATTCTTTCATTTATTTATTCAACAAAGTACAGCGCTACCTCTAGTCAGGATGCTTTAAGCAAAGGACATTTCTCCAAGAGACGTGGCTCACAGAGGGAGGGACTTTGGGCTGGAATCTAGCGAATGGAAATTGGGAGTCCTGAGCTATTACTTACCAGCCACAGGGAAGGAGCTCTGTCTGCCTTTCTGAGCCTCTGTTTCCACCTCTATAAAATGGAGATAATGTCAAAGCAGGAAACAAGTCCAAGAGTTTGGCAAGGCAAGGTAGTGTTAGTGTTTGTTCATAAAGCATTTCACAGGGGCCTCTAAATGTTACTGAGACAGACAGATATACTTGATGGAAGACTTGGGTGGGAAGGTGCTGTTATGAATCAAAAACCAGCAAGTACTGAAATGGTCAAAACTCCCTTCAGAAGGGAGGCTGAAAAACCAAGTTACATGAATAATTCATAAACTGCATATTTCATCTGCAACAATGAACAACTTGTTTATGGTCAATGCTTTTAACTTTTAAAGTCTTTTAAAAGCCATGAAATCATTTAATCTCCAGGGCAAATCATTTCATTCCTATTTTTACAGAGAAGGACAGGCAAGTGTTAGAACCAGCCTAGGAGCCCGCAGCTCATTAGTGACAGATCCGAACTCTTAGGACAGAAAGAGCAGCCAACACTCATCAAGCACTGACTCTGTACCAAATACTCTACCAACAGTTTACAAGTACCTGATCCGCACCCCCCCCCCCCCCCCCCCCGCCAAAGCCCTCTGAAGTAGGTGGCATTATTATCCTCACTTTGCAGATTGGGGAAACGGAGGCTTCAAGAGGTGATGTCATAACGGCAGAGTCTCAGAGCTTAGGGAGTGGCAGAGCTGAAAACAAAGTAGCTGTGGCCAATGACCCTGCATCCTGCCGCATCTCTTGACTCAGTTGAAGGCTCTTTTCACAAATATAAAAAAAAGTGAATGTTATTTGCTCTCAGCGGAGCTGAATAACCTATTCACGATGCTGCCCTTGATTAAGAGTTCCCAACGAACTTTTTCACACGGCAGCTACCTGTAAGGGTAGTGTTTGTTTCAACAACAGCGTCACTCTGTCAGGTCTTACCCATCTAGTGAGACTGAGACTCAGGAACACAAGGATACGATAAAATTATTGGGCTCTTGCCCCCAGAAAATCGATTCGGCAACGTTGAATTCTTTTGTGTTGTCGGAAACAGTCTTTAACCCAAAGCAGTTTGTTTATTCATCAGGTCTTCTGAGGATGCCCACTTGGGTGCAAAGACGCTGTGATAAGTGCTGTGAATGATGTAAAGCCCTTGTTCTCGAAATAGCAGGTCAAAAGTGTAACATGCCCAAAGAAAAGACTAGATTGGGCCATGGGCTTCACAGGAAGAAAAGACTGCCTCCAGCTATGGGTACCAGAAAGGGCTCTGCTCTAGAGGAATATGCATTTATTATAACTCAGACCACTTCCTGGAAGGCAGACCTTGGTGTCATCTCAATCTGCCACTTTCTGAATTCCTATTGTTCGTATATGTCTTTGCTCTTTGATTATCACTAATACCCTCCAGGTATTTTATAGATTGGCTAAAGGTACCTCAAAGACAAAATGTCGTTTTATGACATTTCCTTTATAAACAGAGTCCTTTATAATTCTTATTTGTGTGACTGTCTCCCACGGTGCAAGATGTGCAACAACAGGTGCTCAGTAAAAACTCCATTGGTTAATTTATGGCTTTTCTTTTGAGAAAAGACATTTTGCAGAATCCTAGCAGGCTCTAGTTCCGCTGCAAATGTGTTGTGAATCATGATTCTCAGATACCATTAGGTTTATCTCTGTTTTTCCAATTTGATCCCCCCCCCCATTTGAGTTCAGAGCTTTTCCCAGAATAGGCTAATTTAGACAGATACTTTAGATTTGTTAAGTGAATAACTGAAGGACGGAGTCCCCAGAACCCAGCGATCTAACCGCATCCCTAACACTCCACGCTTGCCTCTGGGAACTTTTCTGCGAGCCCAGCACGCCTTCTCAGCGCCTGTCTTCTCTTCCGCAGGGAGAGGAAGTGACTCTGAATCCGACTTGCCGCATCGGAAGCTGCCGGATGTGAAGAAGGATGACATGTCCGCGAGGCGGACTTCCCACGGTGAGCCGAAATCAGCAGTGCCTTTTAACCAGTACCTCCCGAACAAAAGCAATCAGACGGCCTACGTCCCCGCTCCTCTGCGAAAGAAGAAGGCAGAGCGAGAGGAATACCGGAAGAGCTGGAGTACCGCCACCTCACCCCTGGGTGGGGACAGGCCCTTCAGGTAAGGCCCGAGCCACGCCGCTCCCGTCCTGGCTTGAGCCCTAGCAGTGAGGGAACCACAGCTCCCATGCACAAACGAGCTCAAATGACCCTTTCAGAGCTCTGATGTAAGACTACAAAGGGAGGCAGGCAGGACAGACCTTTCTTTGGAGAGAGATTGCCATGATCGAGTATAAGCTTCGTGAAGGCACCTGGGCCAGTGCCTGGCACACAGTAGGTATTCGACAAATCCTTGTCCAAAGAGCAGATTTTTGAAACCAGTTCTGTTGACAGACGTTGAGTGTGAGTCTGTCATCCATGCCCTTCCGTGGAGACTGCCCGACTCCCACTCTTGTTAAATTAGGTGCAGAGAGCCTGGTCTTCGTGCAAAAAAAAGGCTTTTTCTTAAATCTAGATACGTGGTTGTCTGGATACAAGCTCAAGTAGGTAAGGAATGCGTGGAACGTGTTTCAGAATCACATGTAGAAACTCAACAAACGGGCGGTACGTTGAACCACTCATCTCTTCTGAGAAGTAGCGGTGATTTTCCCTACACTCTGCTTATGTTTTTCTCTTTGTTCAGCAAGTATTTATTGAGCATCTGATATATGCCAGGTGCTGCCTTTCAGGCACTGGGGACTCAGTAATCAATAAAATAGAGTCTCTGCCTTCAAGAACCTTATAGTCCAATACAAGAAACCTAGAGTCTAGTCTACTCCTTTGAGGAAAACCATCCCGATCATTGCATGCTTATTTCTCATAATCCACCTGCATTACCCACAATTTCCACTGAGTAAACATTTTATTAAAAGTTTTAATTATTGGATAAAACGTGAATTTTCTCTTTCTGGCAGAAAGGGTGTTTTTTTTTTTGCCTTTCAATACCAGTATTGAAATAACTCTCAATAATGTTGAGATTATGACGCATTGGACTTATTAACAAATTAATGGCGGCAGTTCACTTTCTTCACATCACCAGGACCATGTTGCATGCCGTGACTTTTTTTTTCTTGTTAATGAAAAGTAATGTCAGAATGACCAGGAGAGGACATATGGTCTGCTCCCCAGCCCAGGCTGTTAGTTTGGTAAACCATATTGTCCAACTCACTAGCTATCCTGAGACAATAGAGGAAGAGGGAAGTGAAGTGGGGTCTCCCTGTGAAGAGGACCCAGTCGGCCAAATGGATCCTAGTGGGAAGCCTTCTGATGGTGGTTTAGAGTTACCCACTGGCGGTGGCAAGGAGCAGCCTCCCCACGAGGGGTCTGTGATGACACCAGCTCCCAAGTCGGAAGACAAAGATGCTGTTGAAATGCAAAAGCGCAGGAGGCTAGAGCAAGCTGGAATCAAGGTCATGCCGGCAGCACAGCGCTTTGCCAGGTTAGCTGTGCAGGCCGAAGCCTGGCCTGGCTGGCTCTGTGCATGCCTGGGGTTTGGAATCTGTCTGGCTTGGAGTTTCCGTCTTGTTTCCCACTTCCCGCTTTTCCCTTTGCAGCTCTCTTCCCTACGGGAGCAAATAGAAATAGGTGCTAGTCTTCACCTCAGGGCATGCCTCTGCCAAGAACTTGGTTGTTTTCAATAGAGGAGAGGAATGAGCTTCTTGCTGCTTGATGAGACCTTGTCCTAGTCTCGTGGTCAGTCACTTGTGGGGGCAGGATTTACCCAGCAATAACATCTTCTTGTTCAATTGTTTGCGGCTTGTTAATTTTCACGCTACTCCTAAATGGCTCTTGTCTTACTTTACACATCACTGGAAAATGGTTCCTTTGAAATGGGGAGCCATCTCTTTAGAAAGAGTACTTGGCTTACAAAAATCTACTTCACTTGCTTTGTCCCAAGGGAGTAGTAAGATTGTGCTTATTTGACTCCCTTTCTGAAGCCTGTTGATTTCAAAAACAAAGAATGGAGTAATCCCTTCTCTTAATCGTAACAAAGGCACCAGTATACAGCCCTGATGACTTCATATTACATGTGTGATGGAAACCTTCAGCAGCCGAAGTCACAGAAAACGATAGTTCTACAGTTTTACATAGTGTTTTGAGAAGCTGGTTAATTTTTCTCATATAGTAACCACAAAGATCCTAACAAATTATAATGAGACCAAAATCTAGTTGACAAATTAAAATCCATAACAGTGTGACAATTGAAATTCCTTTGCCACTTGCTGTTCCATTTAATCAGAAGAGGTAGGTGACATACCCATTTTAAGAAGAGTAAACTGAGGATCAGTGATAGTAAGTGACTTGCTGGTCTGAGAGCCAGTTACCGTTGGTCTGGTGGCCAAACTCAGGTGTTCTGACTACAGTGCCACATCTGCCTCTCATACATTTAACAGAACATTTGCCATGTCTCTGTACAATTCTAATTGTAGTTAGTGCCACATGGTCTCGTTCTCAAACTGAATGTTCCAGCATTGACTTACACAAATTTAATCCTAAGAGTAGCTTTGTATTGATAAAAAACCAAGGATATACGTCTTCCCTGTCTGTGGTATCCCACAGATAAGTATATCTGTCCTAAACATATATGGGCTTCTCGAAAACTCTACCATAAAATTGTGTTTGCATTACAAGGAGCTCTCTGGGTTTCTGAAATCAGGAAAAGTAATGTCATAGAATCTTAAAAAACAAAATCAAATCCAGATATCCTATACATTTTGGAACAAAGACCTTGTCAGATACATATTTTTTCAACATTTGAGCATCTACTTATATCAGAGAACAAACTAGATATTGAGAATACAAAAATGAAGAGTATCCCCTTACCATGTATCATTTTCTGACTTCCTGCTTCTGTCTTCAAATCTAGGGCCCAGTGGGAGTAGGAGTATAGGTAAGAGTATGAATTTACCAAAAAAAAAAAAAAAATCTTGATATCCTTGACATACATTCCTTCATTTTTATCACACCTGTGATGTCTTTAAGCTAAAATTTACCAAAGATGCCATGATCTTTATTTTATTCTATTTTATTATCATTGTCAAAAATTACTACTCTGCCTGGTTAAAACAAATCTCCCTTTTAAAAATGGATTTTTCTATAATTACCAATCTAGTTGAATGTTATGTATATTGGCTACTCGGGTTTCTTCTTCCATAAATTGTCTCGTATCCTTTGCCATTTTTTTTTTTCATTTAAAAGAATTTCATGTTATTGTGGTAAGAAGACTTAGCATGAGATCTCCCCTCTGAACAAATCTAACTGTACAATATAGTTTTGTTAACTATAGGCACAATGTTATACACTAGTATCTTTAGAATTTATTCATCCTGACTAACTGAAACTTTATGCCCATTGATTAGCAACTCCCCATTTCCCCCTCCCCCAGCCCCTGGCAACCACCATTTGACTCTTTGATACTATGTATTTGACTCTTAGATATTTCATATAAGTGGAATCATGCAGTATTTTTCCTTCTGTGACTAGCTTATTTCACTTAGCCTAATGTCCTCAAGGTTCATCCATATTCTCATATATTGCAGAATTCTCTCCTTTTTAAAGGCCGAATGATATTCCATTATATGTAAATATCACGTGTTTTTATCCATTCATCCATTAGTGGACATTTACATTGTTTCCACATCTTGACTATTGTGAATAGTGGGGCAATGAACATGGGAGTGCTGCTATCTCTTCAGGATCCTGATTTCAATTCTTTTGGATAAATAGCCAAAAGTGGGGCCACTGGATCTTGTAGTGGTTCTGGTATTTATTTATTTATTTATTTATTTATTTATTTATTTAGAGAAAGAACATGCATGCAAGTGGGGGAGGGGCAGAGAGAGAGAGGGAGAGAAAGAATCCCAACCAGGCTCTGCACTGTCAGCATGGAGCCCGACACAGGGCTTAAAGTCACAAATCATAAGATAATTACCTGAGCCAAAATCAAGAGTCAGACACTTACCCAACTGAGCCACCCAGGCGCCCCAAGGTAGTTGTATTTTTAATTTTTCAAGGAACCTCTATATCATTTTTAGAGTATCGAAAAGAGCCACAAGAGATGAGTGGGGAGCTACATTGAGCTAACTCAGGACACCCAGGAATCATGGTGATGTAGAGAAAAGAAGAGACTGGGCCACTTCCGTAACTGCGAGGTTTATTTTGTAATGAAATACTGACATCTTTTATGACGGTTCCCATTCTGTGCACAAACCTAGAATCATGGTTAGTTTACAAATGTAAGTCTGATGGATGAATATTACATTTATGTGCTAATTTTTGCTGCCAACCACGTTTCCTGTTATCTGGCTTAATTTTTTACATATTTTGTCCAAGTTAGCTCTGTTAAGCAAAAATTCACAGGTCCATTAATATCGCCACACCTCGGATCCTCTGACTTAACACCTAAAAGTGGGTTCGGGAAAATTATGCATATTCCCAGAGAATGTCCCCAACGACAGTGCGACACAGCTACTCCAGACACCCAGAATTCATTTGTTGGCAGACTGTTCAGCTGCTAGCTCTCTCATAAACGTTTTATACATACCATGGCACTAGCCTGGCCTGTCTGTGTCTCTGTCACTTACTTATTGCAGCCTTCACCAGAGTTGAGAGCCATTATAAGTTTATCCACATTTGGAATCCTGCTTTTAATGTGGCAGAAAGTAGCTTAACTGGAATGAAGCACGTATCACGAAGAGGAAAAAGCTTCTTGGCATCTGGAAAAAAAGAATATAAAATATGTAAATATGCCGATGTCTCTTAAAACATTTAACCTCCGTCTCCTGTCTTTGCCATCAGATAGATGGATTCTGGCCACCACATCTTTGAACCCAGCAAGAGGCCCAGTATATGTCCTGTGGCCCCTTTTGTAGCCTGGAAAGTCTGCATTTGTAGAGATGGGTAATAATATAAAGTCATAGGTGAGGGACGGAGGCACACAGACAAAGAACAAGGCTTTAATTTTGTAGACTGTTTTCTTGGTTTTTTTTTCCCCCAAGTCTTGTCAAACGCCTCCTTGTATTATTTCTAATACAGTATATAAGAAGGAGCAAAAGTGCATGTTATTCCATTTTCACATGAGTT